TTTTATTATAATAATTCAACATTTTCAAGAATTCTATCATAAATTCTTTTACCAAAAATTATAATCGGAGAGTCTCGAGGTGCTCGAATCTAATACTCTAGACGAAATAGACGAAAATTAATGGAAATTACATTACGGCTATGATAGGCGAGACGCCAAATATTGACTGTAACACTTCATCAAGCTCGTCATAATAAAAGGCTTTCATAAAATCCAACACTAGTAATTGCCCATGGCTTTGTCTGTATTGTTATATCTATGAACCCTTTGCGAGTGAGGCTTTATAATAACGGAGATCTCAGGCCAAGTCTTTGAGCTTAGTGAAGCGATGAAAATTAAACTGATTAATATTATAGTTCAACATCCTACAAAAGCAACACAAAAGAATGTGTCACACAAAGGAGTTATTTAAAAAGTAGTATATATACTGACGCTATTATTTCCTTTATATAACAAACCCCTTTGTGCTTTTTTTATAAAATAAACCGATATTTTTTTATGCAATTAACACAACTATATATTATCTATACTTAATATTATAAAGAGGTAAAGTTTGTGAATTGTGAATTGTGAGTTTGTGACGCTGTAGGGGTAATCTCTGGATCTACAGAACCGATTTAGATGAAATTTGATAAGAAGATAGTGTGGGACCCTGGGAAGGACATAAGACACTTTTTATGCCGGAAATCCGGAGTACACGGAAATACGGACATAGAATATTTTTTATCCCGGAAAAATGTACGGTTCCCGTGGGTTTATTTGTTTTTGTTTTTACGTTTTGTCGATTTGGGTAACAAAAGATTTCTTTCTTCAATGTTTTATAATATTAATAATTGGACTCTTACAAGCACTTTGAATTGTGAACTTGATTTTAGGTCAGCTGTGCGCGAAGAAACTACCACCTTGGAAAACAATTCTATTCTTAATGTTCGAATTTGGTAGGTTATATAACAGACTGATTTGTATGAATATTTTAAGTCAAATATAAACCACTAGCGTTTTTCTGCGGCTCCGCCCGCATTGTATTTTAATCACCAATATATCATATAGTAAACCCTTCTCCGAAACACGCTGCATCTTATGGTATGAGTATTATTCCGATCGGTTCAGTAGTTATCGCAATATAACCGAAAAAAAAAATCGGCTCTCCATTTATTAGTATAGATCAATATTCTATACTAATAAATGGAGAAGAAAAAGCAAAAATTTATGACTGAATTCAACGAGCCATTCAGAAACGATATGCCCGTAAATAGAAGAAAAAATCTTAAAATCCCGACCCATATGAAAATAATATTCAAAGCTTTTATTCCTCAATTTCTTGTTAAACAATATTTAATATATAAATAAGCTCAGCTTCAATTTCGTTTTACTATATTTATATACTGTTTCTGCCTCGTTTGTTCACTTGTATGGTTGCAGATAATTAGATGTTAGGTTGAATGTCTGTGTTGGGATAAAACTTCTTTTTTCTTTTTGAAGTTATACTTCTATTAGCGTTTGAAAAAAAATATGAGGGTAAAATTTTTATGATGCGCGCGCACGCCGACAGCCAAAAAACGACATGGTGAAGTTAGCTGCATTCCTTTTACAAACAGAGAGTAGACATGCGGGATGAAATCTTTCGCTATTTTTGTTCTGTTACGCCAAAGAAGTATAACTTCTTACTTGCGTACATAAGTACACACACACGCGTTTTTTTTTTACCAAGTCTATCAAACATAATATCAATCATAATGCGCATATCTAACAATAGTACATCAGATTTTGGAAGCCAGCGGAGTCAAAAAAGGGGGTAATCAAATATGAAACATGTAATTAAGATTTTGTAATTAACTTAGTCTGAGCTTATTATTAAGGCATGTAACTTATGCTTTTAATTTATTATTTACATATATATAAAGATATCATTATAAATGCGAAAATACACGGACGCTAAAACGGTGTCTAGTATAATATATGTCTCAAATACGCTACCTGGAATTGTAAGTAAACTCTGTTAGGTACCCAAAGACTCACCCCATCGTAGCGATAGTAAATCACTAGTTTACTACTAATGGATAGATGCAAAAAGATGGGTGTTATGAGTTTGACCGCTGTGTGTGTGTATCTGCCTGTGGGACCGTAGCTCTTAAACAGATGAACCGATTTGGATTCTTTTTTTTTTTTATTTGAAAGCTAGGTCATTTGATGATATTAATGGGTACTTTTAATAAAATTAAAAGGCCGAGAGATTTTTTTTTTACTTTTTAGAGTTTTTTTGTGCCTACTTAAGCTTTTTTTGGGGCTACTTAAGACTTTTAATTTTATTTTTATCTCATTGTTTTTGTATATATTGTGTTGTCACTTGTAGGTCCTGATTTTACAAAAAATCGCTCTGTTTCTACTTGTAATCAGATTAGTGTTTTTTTTTTCTCCTTTACTGGTCATTCTATATATGTATAACGAGCCTTGTCCATTCTACGCGAACTTTTTGGAAGTAAATTATGCCCAAAGGACACACAAACTAAAGCATTGAATTGAATTACCTTGTTTATGTAACAAAGTCAATTATATTAATTAACATTTTTCTAACACTTTTTTGATTGATAACATTCACGCCCGTTATTAGCTACTAAACAAAAAAAAAGAAAAAGGAAGTCGGTTGACAATCAGAGTAGAAAAATATACTGAACTCTTTTGTCTTTGCCTATTTATATAACATATGTATGTCATGTGTAAAATATGTTTTTATTGATTTCATTATCATTGTTCTGATACTAACAAAAAGCACAATGAATATTAGTTTCTTTGTTCTTAAGTTAAATAATAATATTACTATTATGTTGTGTTCACAAGAATAATTGAGTAAAACTATAAATGATATAAAACAAATATAGACTGGATTACAGAAACGCTTACGTAAATTAAATAAATAAATATGTTGAGACATTAATACAATAACTTTAAATACATACATATTATAAATATAAACACTCATGACTGGAGGAACATTCGCGTTCATCAAAGAAATGAATGCCCCCAGCGGGACTCGAACCCGCGACCGTTGGCACCGCAAGAAGGGTCACTACAAAATGAACAAAACGTGTCTTCTAAAATAAGTTAACCGTTTTCTATACAAATAAGAGAGGTATAAGGTTGTTTTTTTTTATTTAACGTTCCTAAAAATCGATATGCAAAACTAGCAACACTTGGTATCCATTAAAAGCCTAAAACCGTAAACTATACGCTAAAAACGACAGTTTAAATTGTTAAGCCAACCTCAGCAGAATTTAATTAGGAGGAAGAGACCTTTCTAACGTTAGAGCCTTCGCAATGTGAATGTCACATAAAATCGTGATCCGATTGAATAATCTAAAATATATGAACAAACGAGGATAATTATCATATACATATCAATATCATGTACATGCAAATTTTATTCGTCTATCACAAAAAGAACCTGGCTATAATTTATCTTTAAGGAAAAAGAAGGTCCGTTTCAAATTGTTTACCTATATTTTCCCAATACAATGGGAGGGCAGATAGCAGGTGTATTTCTACATACTAATTCACCTTTCAATTTAGTCGAGGATATTGTTATATTTGGTGTTTCATGGGCTCTCAAGTATAATTTGCTTCCTCATTTTTTTGCTTAATAGTGCTTTAATATTTCATAAGAATATACTTAATATATGGTTATGGTTTGGTTGATATATAATTTTCTTGAGAACAATAAAACTTTAAGCCAGCGGACAAGATGAATGCAAATATTTATTTATATATGAATACATAATAAATTGATGTATATGATTTTAATTATAATTATAATAAAAGCTATCGTTTTATGTTCATATCTAAATGATTTGTTTAAATTTATTTTGTATATAACAATATTTTTAGGAATTTCATAGCTAAAATGCACTTGTTTCATTTCTTACAAAAAATGTCGAATTCTGTTTAAAAATAGCATTAGAATTTTTTTTTAAAATCATAAACCTTTATAAGTAGTCATACTGTTAAAAACAAGGACTTGCTTCCCTGACATTCAATGAATAAGAATATAAATTAATAAAGATTAAAATCTCTGTGAAAAACAACAAAATTATTTATCATCTGTGCTCTGCGTCGATAACCATTTTCCCGCGTAATTAAATGTCAAGCAGACATTTTGGGTGAATAATAAACAAAGCTGTGAAGTTTGCGTGCATAAAATTTTTACGATACTTTGACGCGTCACTTTTTAAAAAATACCGCTCATACATACACTTTTTAATAACATTACTGTCATATCAAATAATATACAATATACATACGTATATGTATGTTAAAATCACAACACTCACCGTTTGCTGTATAAACGTGGCGTTCTGTTTTGTTTTGACATCATTTATTTGAAATAAAGGAATAATTTTTCTCATCCAGTGGACTCCATAATATAAAATATAATACCTAAATAAAATAAATGCTTAAAAATATGTTTATAATTAATATATAATGCAAAATAATATGCCTGCTAATTTACTATTACTGCAATAAATAGCAGTGGAATGGACGTGGCATAATTAAAGAGTTCATTGCAAATTAACATCGCACTATAATAGAAGGCAAAATGCCCAATACATAAATTAAAGTAGTTATTGTACACGATGGCGTCAACAGTTTAATTTTATTATCTGTTACCGTTTGTCCATTATCTGCAAAAAGTAATTAGCTACGGTGAAAGAAAGCGATTTCCCCACGAGTCATGAATATTAAAAAACCTCGTTAGGCATTTTCGTAAGTTCACAGTTGGAAACCACGTCACGTACGCGCAATGAACAATGACAGGTTCACCTAATCGGGGTCGTTACACAACTGATCATCACTTAAGGGGCCAATGTCATGATCCACTCAAGTGGAATATCGATAGAGATGACACATCCGGACAAGTCAGAAGCTAAACATCTCGGGATAAGTATATAAGCGGCAAAGGTAGGTGATACAGCATCATTCGGTAGCTAGCATCCAAGCGCACAACAATGAATACCTTTGTTAGCATTCTTCTTTTGGCGGCTGTTGTGGTTGCTGAACCACCTTCATACAGACAGGAAAGGTTCAGGTCACAAAGACAAGAGGGCAGTCAAGGAGTTGAAGGAGACGCTCCTTATCCACCAGCGGGTTACAGACCAGCTAAAGCATTCGACCTTCCTACTCGCCAGGAGTTTTCGCCACCCGCCACCGTATATGGTATCCCAGCTGACAGTTATGGAGCACCGTTCAACACATACTCTCCTCCTCAAGAGTATGGCTCACCAAAAGAAGAAGAGAAGGAAATAGAAAACGTAGAGGAATCTAAAAAAGAGCAACAAAAGGAGAATTTGGAAGTAGAACCTAAAAAGGATGTTGAAGTGGTAAGCTCTAAGGGTGCCTATTACGTATTGTTGCCTGGATCCCAGCTCCAACGAGTTCAGTTCCAAACCGAAAACGATATTCGCAATATGGCTTACACGGCTCGATTACAGTACAAAAATGAAGACCGTGCTCCAATTTTCGTGTACACATTGCCCCAATATCAGAGCGCTGCGTACGTGCAATTGTTTTAATAAAAGAATATAAATCTCCTAAATGAATGCTATTCAAATGAAGGATTTAAAAGTGGTAGTAATTTTTATGGGCCTGAATCCATCAACTACAAATGAAAAACGGCTTCAAATATCTACTGTATTTAATTCATTGAATGTTTATTTATGTGTATTATGTGTATGTACTCGTATATTACACGATATCTTCACCATTTATCCAATAGACTATTCCTCCAGACCCATATATGTGTCCAAAAAAAATATTTGGAGAATTTTAATGATTAATTTAAAAGTGATTATAAGTCGGTGTACTTTTTAGTAGGAAAGTTCATTTGGTTATTGTGAAAACTTAAAAGAGATTTACTCTATATCCGGACGAAATAGCGATTGCACTAGCACATTATATCCATTATGAATATTATATACAATGAGCTTATATTAATCCTGCTTATTTTTGTATTAAAATGTATATTTATACCTTCATTCTGAATAGCATTGGTTTATTATTTATTGCATAATTATTGAAAAACGACATTAAATTTTGAACGAAATTATATCTTTAATTAAACCCCTTCCTGATCTACCTCATAACCTTTATTTCTATGGATGCCAAAATACATTTTGTGCATTTTGAGAGAAATATTACATCAATAAATGGAAAGAAGTGGTAGCCCAGTGGTAACGCGCTCGCTTGGAAACCGAGTGAAGCGAGTTAAAATCCCGAATTTCACACGTCTGATATAGTCATGTTCGAATCATTTTCAATATGATTACCATTTGTGTAAAGAAAAACATCTTGAGGAAACCTGGAAGTTTGAGAGAACATAACTGGTTTTCCAAAGACATGTGAAGTCCTCCAACCCGCGCTCGGTCAGTGTGGTGGCCTGATCCCTTCATACTTAAAGCCCACGGCCAGCAGTGGGGCGTTAAAAAGGGCTGAATAAACGGTATAATATAATAAAATATTTATTTTTCTTCTCATCTGTTTATGCGCTGAGTTACAGATACATAGTTTACACTATCATGTATTTAGAGAAATTCTTATAGAAATTTTAAATAAAACTATCTTTTCGGACTTTTCGCGAATTTATTTAGATTTTTGATTCCCGACGTTTCGAATGCTTTACAGCAATCATGGTCACGGGAGAGACTGAGGTGTTAGATATCTCAAAAGCATTATATAGTTGTAAGAGCCTACCCACAAATTAACAAAAATTAATTCAAAAAATTGAAAAATGGCAAAAAGTACCTTACAATATTTGTTAATTTCAATTTAAAAACTTTTAATTAGTTTAATAATTGAATATAGAAAATTATTAATTTAATTGTAGCTGTTATTATTATGATTATTACAATTTTTTATAGATTTAAAAAAAATAGTGATCTATATTTAGTATTGCCATTATTATATTTATGAACGTAAAGAAAAATGAAATATTCTTACAGATACTTTATATTATGTACAATACAATATTAAAAAAGAAAGTCGATATTTTATAATCCAGTGTCAAGCGAAGCGAGTGCGGGTCGTAATATTATAAAGGCGGGATAAAATATAAAAATTCATAGCATTTCAAATATTACACTCCACCCGCGGCTAAGGAGCATGATACGCGCCGATTCAAACAAATTTCTCATATTTATTATCTTTTGTAAGTATTTTAACATGGTAACATAGTCCTGTTACACCAATCGACAAAGGTCATGCTATTTAATTAATTTAATTATTTAAATTTAATTTGAAAATAATGTCATAAGTCCAGTGATATCTATAGATCTATACATATAATAAAATTCTAACAGTCGAATCGGTACATTAATTCTTTTTTTTTTGGAAAATCGCATAGATATAGAAATATTATTAGTATCGATACAGAGGCCGAATCTATAGCTTTTAGATTTTTTGTCTGTGTGTATGGAAACGCATCACGAGAAAATCACTGGACAGATTTTGATGAATGATGATAGCTGTTTATCCGGGTCAACATATAGTATACTTTTTACTGCGGGAAAGTATCTCATCTGAGAGAAATCTATACTATATGTTGTATTTATACTATATGTAAATGTAACTAGGGACGAACCCGAAAGAAGCGAGGGTGAGTCGCTAGTATCAAATAATATAAGAATAACAAAGCTAATAAAGTTATATTTATAAATAACATTTCTCTAACATAAATAATGTTCAACATCTGATATCTTGTACCTAATATCAAATTACTACGAATGAAAATATCCATTTTTAACCGATTTCCAAAAATGAGGAGGCTCTTTTAGTGTTTATCCTTTGGATACTAGTGCTTACCAGCATAACAATTAATATTGCATAAAAATCTTTTCAAAAATTACGTAAATCTGTCTGTCTTTTCGAAGTTTTTTGTTTAATTCTTGTTTTAAGTCTTAACTCCTACAGTGATGTAATATTTGTATGACTTTAACATAACAATAAAACAATATTTGGTAATTTTAAACACTTTTCCCAATATTACATGCTTAATATGTCTCTCGTAAATGTTTTAAACATCACTCGGCTCATTTTGCGATTCATATGCAAATTAAAGTATCGTCATGTCAAAGACTTAATAATTAGGTTGGATTTTTATGGAATATGGAAAAGGATAATGCTTAGTGAATCATTTCAAATACAAGTTACAGCCTGTGAATACGTCTGTTACAATATATCTATTAAAAAGAAATATTTTAACAGGCCACTGCCTCGGTGGCTAGCATGTACCGGAGGTCCTGGGTTCGAGCTCCAGGTCGGGCTAAATTTAATAACTGAGTTTTTCTGTTAAGATCTTCTCAGTAGGAGCCTGGAGTTTGTAAATTGGCGGTGGTACAACCCCGTGCCTCGGAGAGTAGGTAAAGTGTAGATCCTACGTCTTAACTCTCACCGGTCGTGTCGAAGTATCGTCCCATCGGATTTTAAGAGGAAAAGGAATAGAGAGTGCACGTTGTGTCTATGCGTACACTTGTGCACTATAATATCTCTTGCACATCTGGCTATTCTCTGTGAGATTGGCCGCCGTGGCCGTAATCAGTCAGGACGACATTATTATTAAAAAAGTTAACTATCGTTGAAGTGAACTATTTAATGCAAAATAAACCAAAATTACCTATACTTTTTTTTAATTATACTAGCATTGCCCGCAACTCCAGCCGCGTTCAGATGACTAAAAGTTAAATTCTTAGGTTTTACATATTAGTATACTCTTACTTTGCAGTTTTTGCATTTTTTCTCAGAAATAAGATATTTTCCAGTGCTAAAAAGTACCCTATATGTTGACCCGGATAACCAGCTATCACCATACCAAATTTCATCAAAGTCCCTTCAGTGGTTTTTCTGTGATGCGGTAACAGATAGACAGACAGGCAGACAAAAATTCTAAAAAGAATAGATTCGGCCTCTGTATCGATTGAATGTCTATTACAATAAGATTTTCCAAAAAATATTTAATGTACAGATTCGACTTAATTACAATTTGATTATATGTATAGATAGATTAAATTGTATCATTTGAAAAGCAAGTAAACTACCTTTAAAACTAAGCAATTTTGTTTTCTTTAAATCCCTCGAGGGTTTTGTCTAGCGTGGTCCAAATAGCCGTTCATTCAGCAACCTAAAGACGTCTAGCTGGCGTCTGGCGTGAAGACATTTAACGGTCAGTTAATTAAACGAGTCTATTGAGCTGTAAACTACTTGTTTCTAATTACGTTTAACGTTTTATTTGGGAAATAAGAAGTTAATTGCCTTCTTAATGAGATCCAATAAGCTAAACCATGTTTTGGGTCAACATAAAGGAGTACGAGGGAAGTGTTTATGTATATGGACTATATACGTAATATGTTGTTGTAAATTTCTACTAATATTAATTAACCACATTCCCTTATAATTAAATTCCTTTACAAATAATATAATATTCGATATTCAATCAATACCAAAACAAATATGCTTAACTCGCGCAAGAAACCAAATAGCGACCTCTGTCGTGATAAATAGTACCATTCATTGTAAGCGACAGTCGTTTTCATTTTTTTTATTATAAAATAACACTTAAGTATTTAAATTTTACTTAACTAAGCTTTTTTCTTTAATTTTCAGTATTTTTGACGACACATTTGGCTCAGTTTGTATTTATTCTACTTACTGTGCTAGCGATCGCGGATTCGACTCCCGCTGTGGGCATTCGTTATTCATTAGCATGAATGTTTGTACTTCAGTTATGGGTGTTTATATTTATAATATGTATGTATTTAAACTTATATATGTGTAGTGTATCTACTATCTGGTATCCATAACACAAGCCTCGTAGCTTACCATGGAACTAGATGGTGCTGTGCGTAATTCCCAAACATTTTTATTCATTTATCAATCAGCACTAACGCTCAAAAACGACTAGAATGTGGAGAAAAACCCAAAGGGCACTGCGCAATCTTCAATAAAGAATATCTAATATTATTTGGTAGAAAAATGCTTTTCTTATGTTATGCAAATAAAACTAGTTATGAACTGATTTTAGGTAGCTGTATATTATCCCGATTATTATTAGCTGTACGAGTATATTAAGGATATTAAGGCACATAAACATTCATCAACATATATTCGTATTTTTTTCCAAAGTGAAATGTATATATATATATATTATACTTAGTCCTGTAACCTTGTCCTCACTTCTATTATCTGCGTCAACGCATATGTTAAACTATTACATATATAATAGTTTATAGTGTACTAGCATTGCCCGCTGCTCCGCTCGCGTTCAGATGACCAAAAACCAAATTCTTAGGTTTTACATATTAGTATACTCTTACAATGCAGTTTTTGTATTTTTTCTCAGAAATGAGATACCTTCCCGCGGTAAAAAGTATCCTATATGTTGACCCGAATATCCAGCTATCATCATACAAAATTTCATCAAAATCCCTCCAGCGGTTTTTCCGTGATGCGGTAACAGGCAGACAGGCAGACAGACAGACAGACAGACAAAAATTCTAAAAACTATAGATTCGGCCTCTGT